CAGACAGGACTGAAAACATTGATGGGCAGTTAGTAAGAAAAGGATCCTGTGCTTAAAAAAGAAGAGAAAATTATCATAATCACCACATTGACAGACTAAAGGGAAAATCATGTAATCATTTAAATAAATACAAACGTTCTTTGATAAAATTCATTGTCCATTCATAATAAATACTGGTAGCAAAGTAGAAATTAAAAGGAATAACCTTAATCTTATTGGGTATTCACACACACACACACACACACACACACACACCGCTACAGCAACTATCATGCCTACTGGTAAAACGGTGAATGTTTTCCCTTTGAGACTGGCAACAAGGCAAAGGTTTTGCTATCACCAGTTCTAGTGATATTTGTGTTAAAGTTCTAGCCAGTGGAGTAAAGCAAAAAGGAAAAGAAAAAAAAGAAATAGGGATGACAAGGAATAAATAAAACTGTCATTATTCTCAGATGATATTATATAGGTACAAATCAAAAGAATTGACGAATTTTTTTGGAATTTACAAGTGTTTGGTGAGTTTGCTGAAATCAAAGTCAATATGCAAAAATCAACAAATTTCTAAACACCAAGAACAGTTGGAAAATGAAATTTTTAAAACAATGCTATTTACAGTGGCATTAAAATATATCAAATGCCTCTGAAGAAACCTAACAAAATGTAGACTCATCAAGGCATAGATTCCTTGTTTCAAAATAATATGGAGAAGGTATTGAACTTTCCTTGCTTCTATTTTAGCTTGATGTCTTATCTTGGAAATGGAGCCTTTTTTCTCTCTTGCTCTCTTAGAGAAAAACCCTTCCACCTCCTGTTCAGAGAGCCCAGTATAAAGTCTCTATACCTGCTGTCCTACGCTGACCCAAAGGAAGTCTTCCTATGTATCAGATGTGTGCCAAGCCTTCTCAGGAGGACGTAGGCAGGAAAACTGACTGCTAATCAAAGCTTTACTCGTAAAGTCTACCTAAGGTTGTTTCCCCAGGCTATGGTTGGGATGGAGACACTTGGCAGTTGGAGTAGCACCCACATAGGGTCTCTGCCTGTGGAGAAGTCCAGGTGGAAACCTCTGAAACTTCCTTTCCACACACACACACACCTACCCTCACCCTCTCCAAATAAGATGATACATAAAAGACAATATTACATTCTGGGCATTGATGGTGTAGATTAGTGCCACTCTTAGAGATTTAAAGGATGGGAGGTGGTGGTTGTTTCTATTCTCTCTCTTCTTAATTAGCTGACTTGGCTTCTACAGAAACTAGATGACAACTGGAAAATGACTGTACACTATTGCAAGCTACCAAGCGGTAGCCCAATAGCAGCTGAAGTACTAGACATGTTGGTGTTGCTAGAGAAGATTAATAAGCCTCATGTACGTGATATACAGTCATTGGAGAATACACTTACTTTTGACCTAATCAGAAAATCAGAAACGGTTTGCATTCCTATGAAACAGACAACAATATTCTTTACACTTTCGCTCTAGAACCATGCCCTCTGTCATAACTTGGTCTGAAAGGATCTGGACCATCTGGGCATTCTGAAAAATATCACCGTTATCCATTGCATAGAAGACATCCTCCAGATCCTGTAGGAAGACAGGTGGCTAGTGTTCTGGAGGCCTCAGTAAAGCATGTTTGCTCAAGAGGGTGGGAGGTAAACGCTGCTAAGAATCAAAGATCCAATTCAGTAAAAAGGATGATGTCCACTCAATAGTGACCTTGAAAGATAGTAACAAAGGAAAATCTTCCTGAGGTAGAACTCTGCATGGTGCACCTGGTCATCCACTTTGTGTGGAAGGAGAAGAGAAATAAGCATATATATGGAATCATGAGCGGTGGTGAATGGCCTGCTTAGCTTGTCAGAAGCCTAAAAGAAATACTGGAAAGTCTGTGATAAAAGAGATATTGGATAGAGGCACATAAATAAATATGTAGAGTGAATGCCACATATTGTTTTTTTGTATCACATGTTAATGTCCACCAAAAAAATCCACCACAGAAGAGGTACTGACCAACCATTAGCCAGCCTTTGACTTAGCCACCCCATAATAAGCATAAAGGGCACATGAGCACAATGGCCACAGTGGCAGAGATGGAGGCAATGTGTTGCCCCATAGCATGAACTCCCACTTGCCAGGACAGATCTAGCTGTTGCTCCCTCTGCGTACCTAATCTGCCTGCAACAGAGACCAACACCAAATGCCTGATATGACACTATTCCTTGAGATCAACTGTCTGCCTGGTGACAAGTTGACTGCATTGGGCCAGTGGTTTGTTTGCACAGGAATAGACATTTATTTGGTGCACGGGTTTGCTTTTGCTTTTCCTATTTGTACAGGCTGAGCCAACACCACAATCCAGGGGCTTACAGTATGCCTATTCCACAAACATGGAATCTCATAAAACATATCATCTAAAGAGGGAACCCACTTTACAGTGAAGATGTGTAGGGTGGGCCCATGACTATGAGGTCACCAGGTTGTATTAAACTCACACCATCCAGAAGCTGCCACTCTGACAAGGCATTGGAATGCCATCCTGAACAAAGGTGCGGCTGAAGTACCAGCTCAGAGGTACTATTCTTCAGAGAAGGATGGCATCCTTCAGAATGTAGAATCTGCACCCACTCAGGGACCTTTATAAGGCCCTGTGTCCCTAGTAGGATCCTGGACCTAGGGAGTGAAAGCAGCAATGGTCCCATTTACCATCAATGACTAAGTGGAGAATTGTGTTCTTCCCATCCTTACAACTTTGAGCTCTGCAGGGTTGGAGGCCCAAGTCCCCAGATGGGTGCACTTTTGCCAAGGGACAAAGCAAGAGTCCTGTTAAACTATAAGCCACGCCTGACATCTGAGTATTTTGGACTCCTGTGTCTGGGGAGCAGCAGGTGGAGTCAGCATGTTGGCAGAGTTGATTGACCTCGACATCTGGAAGAGGTAGGGCTGCTGTTGCACAGTGGTGGAGGCAGGAATATGTGTGGAACTCAGGCGACATGCTTTGGTATCTCTTGGAAGTCCTTGCCTAATTGGAACCGTGAAAGGACAAGTGCTGCGTCCCCGGCCTGAGAAGGGCACGGTTTCCAGGGGTTCACACTCCTGAGGAATGAGGGTTTGAGTCACACCACTCCGAGCGTGTCCAGACGTGATTGCTGAGGGTGAGTGGGATTTCGATGGTGAAGGAGGGAGACAAAGAGTTCCACTTGTGGCCCTGAGGCAAATTTACAGTGGCAGGAGTTGTAGGTTGCTCCACTAACGTCACTTTTCTAAGTCTCCCTTCAGGAAGAGATACCCACTGAGGAATTATTGAGGAGCTTTTCCCACAAATGTGTGGGGAAGTGGATCTGCATGGCACAGGGGGTGGACTTGGCAGCCAGGGGAGTGAGCTGCTCAGCTCTCCCTTCAAGATGGACCTGTGGTGAGGAATGCACTCAGCTGATGGCCCCAGCCACAGCGTCTTCAGGATCCACTGCAGCATTTAAGCTGGATATGCTGCCCCTGAGAGCTCCCAGCCAAAGGGAAGTCAGCAGAGGTAACAGGGCCTGGTCCTTTCTGTCCAGCACATTCTCCTTTATGGACAATCTGCCCTGGAGCTCCCCGATGCGCTGGCAGACACCTTCCCAGAGCTGCATTTCCATCTGAGACTCTTCCGACCCAGTCCTCCTTTCCGGTTCTTCCCCTGTCGCAGGTGTCACACCTGAAAGCCTTTACTGACTGCTCCTGCTCCCTCGCTCCTTTGTCTTTCACAGGCGTTTCCTCTATGAATCTCTTGTACTTCTAACTATCTTGGTGTAACATCCATCTTGGGATCTATCTTGAGTCTCAGAGGACCCAAACCAATGCAGCCTCTCTTTTGAGGCCACAGAAATGAGGCCGCTACCAGGACATCACACGCAGGCGGTTTCTGTTCTCTTCAGGAAGAAGTCACTTATCTCTGTCTCTCGCTTCCTTATCATAAACCTAATTTTTAGATCATAAAGAGTGGAGCGCACTGAAGAATGAAATTTTAGTTTTCTCTTATTTTATACTTGGAAAACTAACACAGGCACGGGTTTTCTCCTTTCTCCTTTGACTGTATATACCAGTTCCAGTAAGAGGAGGCAAGGGGCGCTCACAGAAGTGAGTGCTGATCTGCACCGGGAAAGGTCTGATTATCGTGTCATTATATTGTCACAAGAAGCAAACCACAGAGACCTCTATTCCTTTCCCTCTTTGCCAGCTCTGGAAACCAACTTCAGCTTTGTTCAGCCAGGATCCAGAATCAGTTATACTTTTAGCATTTGAGACCTTGCATTTTTATAACATTTTTATTAATGATGAACTCAGAAAGGAAGCTTTTTACAATTAACTTTCCTCCCAACATCCTTCTCAGTTATCATGAAACGGCCATAGCAAAACTATTACCTCTTCTTGATGGAACAAAAAACACACACGAAGTTTAATAACTATTAGAAAGGCAATAGAGAGACAATGGGAAGTCAAAACTAAAATTCAAATTCCTTCCAGTTCTGTACAGTACCCACCATGTGGATGTCTCATGGTACCAGCCTCTTGAGGTCCCAGGTTTCCTCATGTCTGGTTAGAAATGTGTGTGTGTGTGTGTGTGTGTGACACACTCTTGTGTGTGAGAGGATGTGCATGACAAACTTGATGATGAGAAGATGTTTGGTTAAAAGTTAATTTCTTACCTGACAGGTAAGTGACTTGCCAAGGTGACACAATCTAAGTAGACAGAGTCTCCTGACTGTGAACACAATGCTTTGACTTCTGCTGATGTTCCAGCCACATATTTAGGTGTTTCTGAGTGTGCTCCTTGTCCGCGACCCAAGTCCCTACAGGATCATGATTAACTTAGTCTAGTTGCCTGACCGAGATCCGAATTATACATTCACTTTTTAGCATTTGCTGTATGTGATTATTTCCCAAATGGCTCGGATTTCACCACCCCAACCCTTAATAGTCTCTGCAAAAGAAGGGTAAACACTTTGCTAGTAAAAAATTGAGGGTTTATATCATCTTTTATTTTATTACGGTCCACAAATATATACAAATGGAATCATTATAGAATTCATATCTTAAGGCACTTAAGTTAAGGAATCTGTTGTGCTTGCTCTCTTATTTCAGTCATTAAAGCATGAGAAGTAAAACTGCCAATATAATACTCAGTTTGAAGCTTAAAGTTAGTGGAATAAATTAAGTACATTCAGAAATCTCAAGTAAAGAATTAACAGGCTAGAGGCTAAACTAATAATCTTGACATGGTTTGATCATCACTTGGTTTATTCTTAGTACCCATTTACCTTTTTTATTTACAAATCTAAAAGGAATGCAAATTCTGCCTTTAGGGAATGCAATAGCTATTAAACAGAAGAGACACTTCCATTCATTCTCTGTAACTCAGGACATTTATATTGCTATAAAACACTAATCTCTCATGTCTTGAGCCTCTTACTGAGCAGTGAATGTTTATCTGTGCGCAGTCCATTTCTCTTTTGGCTGGGATTTTCTTTCTGGTCCGGGGCACCCTCACTGAGCAATTCCAAGCGTGTTTCCTTAGGCATCTGCAAAACAGGCACACAAACTCCAGCGGACAGATGCTCCACCTCTAATCTGCCCTGCCTCCCAGGGCTGATCCACAGGCCCAAGGACAAACACAGCACAGTGGAGAACACAACAAAACATGATACTCGTCATTCCTCCCTAACTCTGGCTAGTATCTTCCACAGACATTTGAAATGTGATGTCGACATAAAATCTGGGTCCAAGCCAATATTTTAGAGATGTATGTTAACTCTGCTAACATGTTAACTGAAGTAGGATTTCCCACAGAGAACTCCCTTTTTTGGAAGCTCTTTTTCAATGTTTGCTCAATTCTTACACCTGTGATTCTGTCCTGGACAGATAATCATTGACTTCCAGAATTGGTTTGTGCTGTACCAAGATACAGAAGCAGTCCTGTTAGTGAATCATCTGCTCTCATTCAGATGGCTTAATGTTTTGCAGTCTGGAAAAGGACTTTGCTAACTGCACTGGATGTGCAGGCCAGCTCAAGGCACTGAGTGTTCCTTTATGGGTCAGAGTCATAAACAAATTATGCAACAAAGCTCCTCAAGTTTTTTGCCTTACTGTTTCCCCGACCCAGAGAGCGCTTTCTCACACCCGGGCAGCTCAGGGAGAGAACGGAAAGGCCCTCTGTTGGAAGCACATCAAATGCAGAAACTAGGCCACTCGGTGCCAGATGGTTCCCAGGCCCCAGTGGCCGTTGGAAGTCTCTACTTCAGTTCATTTCAGGACCAGACTCTGGCATTGTGGGGCCATGCTGCTAATGCGCCTGTCGATTTTAAGGAGGGGCATGTGGGAATCTGAGGCAGTGTCAGGCGGTCTTCAGAGTAAACAAGAAGGTGTTTAGGACACATATTATCATCTCTCTAGATTTTTAATGCCCTCTTTGTGGGCCTGAGGGGTTTTTGGTATTGTTTTCGGAATGATCCTATAAGAATGGTTCTTTTGCTTTTTTCCTTTCAAGTGGTCTGATACACGCCTTGAAATTTAATTGTGCACTCAAAATTGCAACAATAAGCGAACCCTAGCACAAGTGGTTTTATTCTAAAGGTCATCGTACAATTTTTTAAAATTTGCATTCTTTTTTCATAAATTCCTAAAGTTTTAAAAGTTTCCCTCAAGAATAAAGGTAGCAGACTCTTACCTTTGTTCTGCATGGTGTATTATCAGAGACCACACTCTCAGTTTGGGCTCCAATGGCTTCTTCTAAAACTACATCAAGAAAGGTACAATGGAGAAGACAGAACATAAAAATCTCAAAAACTCCTTTGGTATCTACAGAAATACCCTTAAGAATAAGGAGGTAAAATGCATTTAAAAATGTGTCAGACTGAAAATCGCTGCTTCTAAACTTTTATTGTAGTGTTTCATCGTTATCACTTACAAGTGGCACTGACACCATGTTAGCTATACCTTGGTCACTTTATTCAAAGGAAATTCTTTGGCCCATCACCAATAATGCTTAAGCTCTGAGTTGACTTTTAAGTAATAGTAACAGACGTGCCGCAACCTCTACTCTTTCTTCAGCCGGCCATTCGAGGACTCAGAGGACACGCAGGTATGTGAGGAATACTTGCCAGGTTTGGGTGTTGGTATACTCTTGGTCCAAAGGAAGTGACTTAGTACAAGTAACTCTAGCTGACTCTCGAGTTCCCAAACATTAATTATGACTGTATGCTACATCGATTCCTAGCTTCTCAGCCTTGTCCTGGCCTAAAAGGCTGATAAGGGAGCAGAGAAGTCGAATCTTAAAAATATAACCAAAGCAACAACAAAAATTTTAACATTCGACATTGCTTTATGTAACATGGTTTTACACTGCTATTTTACTTTCTTATATCAACCTAATTGTATAATATAAATAAATAAAAGATAAATTCCTATGACAGGCTATAATTTTGAATGACAAGCTGAAGTTCTCCAAAAAATTAAATTGTAATAAGTGAAATACACAAAATCAAATGATTCGGTATATAGCAAATAATTGTTAACCTATAGACTATAATTTTTATTAATAATGTTTCACGTATTTTCACAACACAATGTTGAAATACTGTACACTGGAGCAGCAGTTCCCAGCCTTTTTGGCAACAGGGACCAGTGCTCTTACGAGAATCTAATGCCTGATGATCTGAGGTGGAACGGAGGCGGTGATGCTAGCGTTGGGGACTGGCTGCAAATACAGATGATGCTTCGCTCACTTGCCCACTGCTCACCTCTTGCTATGCGACCCGGTTCCTAAAAAGGACCCGGTACCGGTCCGTGGCCTGGGGGGTGAGGACCCCCGCACTAGAGCATTTGTGGTGTATAGTACAATGCAGATATGCAGCTTTTTAAAAAGTGAAAACAAATGGTAAAAATAAAACTGTGTGCTATTTCAATAAAAGCTTAGGTTTTGAGTGGTATGAGTACAAACAGAAAATTTTGATTTAAGTAAGAGTTCATGATGTAGTTATTATTTTTCAGCTCTCTTTTTCTAGTTCTAAATACAAAGTTAACACTCATTCCTGCCCTCTTTCATGTCTGTCATGAATAACAAGATGCACAGTCATGTATGACCAAGCGTGGGTTGAAGGTGGGAAGCATGGGTGTTGGGGATAAGGAAGCATCTTAAAAATAAGTGGACAGACCTGTCAGAATCTCATCGAGTTGGTCCACCATAAACTTTGCATCTTCTTCAGTGAAGCACATAGGTGGTTTTATTTTAAGCACATTTCTATGAGGTCCATCAGCACTGAGAAGCACTCGCTTTTCTTTCATCCTAATTAGGAAACAGGAAATACATGTGAGGGCATACAAATGATAACTAAGATTCTATAAGAATGATGTGAAAATAGACCAGTTTACTATTTTGCATGCCAAAAGCCCACATTTATAAATTGCATGTGTCTTAAACTTTCCTTAGTTGGAGAGATGGGAGGAAATAAAAGAAGCTTTCGAGAGGGTGGTTACCCAGAACCCAGACAGAAATGGAGTGAGAGTGCATTTACTTGTAAATAACATGCTGAGCTTCAGCTGTGGCAGGAGTCCTTCTCTGAGGGTCCTTTACTAAGTCAATTCCGATAAAAAGGCCAACGCCCCTGAGGGAGGTAAGGAAAGAAAACTTGACACACATTCATTGTCACACTGCATTGTCACAAAAATTAACACTCTCCTTAGATTTCAGTTTAATTTAAGGCTGAATGTGACTCCTTTTAAGAGTAACTGTAATTAATTCTAATTCAAGATATCAATCCAGTATCTGCAGCTCTTCCTAGTTTTTGTCATCCAGTTTTTTCCCCATCTCTTAACTGTAAAAGAAAAAGGCTTAAAAACAACCTCTTTGGAGTATTTAGTTTGTCAAAACATTAAAGATAATAAATGTTTAATATTTATATGTATACATCTATGCAAAATATTGAGTTTTCCAAGATATTATTTTAAAATAATTTTTAGTTTAAAGTTACTTTAAATTACTTTAAAAGTAAGTTACTTTAATCCCTTCTTTTCATCTTTTTGGTGCTGAAATTATCATAGCTTTATCTTTTAAAAAAAGTATAAAAGTCGGGAAAGATATACATCCAAAATTTAATAGTAGTGATGATATCTTGGGTTCTCAATTAAGAATGAGTTTTGTTTTTTATGTTTTCAGTGTTTTCTAGATTTGGTTTTATGTAATTTATTTTAAATTTATAAGACAAAATATTAGCTAATTTCACGTGGAAAAATGAATAACTACATGACAACATCATGATGAACATACCTGATATCTCCTATCAAACTGTGCTTAGCCTTCTGTTTATTTAGTAACTCAGTAAGATAATTCCCTACTCTTGTGGCATTTTCTTGAAGGTCTTCATTTTCAATTACATCTAGGACGGCCAAACCAATAGCAGAAGATACTGGATTTCCTCCATACTTCAGAAAAAAAGATTAATGAGAAAACATAATAGTTGAATTAGTGGAATTGCTTCAACTATAAGAAATATGGCTCAAACATAAGCAAGCAAAGATATAATTTCAATAAAATTTTCTCTTGTGATATTAATTTCACAGATTTAGAATATAGCATGATTCTATTCATTCAGGATTAAAGGAAAATTCATTCTCCTTTATTCAAATTATATTCTCCTGCTGCATAACTAGTATGCAGGAAATGTATCAGGAAATTTATTGGTTTATCTAAACAAAATATAAACAACGTGTTGGGAATTAAGAATTTCAGAATGTGGTTTAGTGAGGAGGATATAGTTTTCTGCCCTTGAATAGTGTAAAAAGAACTAAGAAATGACATTTTCTTTAAATAATTTACATCCTTAGATAACAAATCCTATTATGTATTGTACAAACTACAATAATTTTCTAAGCTTAAAGCTTATGGCTTTTGGGAGTAAAACCAAGGAAATAAAAATTCAGTATGTCCTATGACAGTCCTATAACTTTTATGGTACTGAATTACCTAAACAGAGAAGTTTAAAAAATTTAAATATGACACAAAACAAAAAAAAATAATATCTGTTAATGAAATCTCTTAACGTCTAGAGTTTAGCAGGGAAGCCACTATCAGTGGAATAATTAATAAGAACATTTGAGGAAGGGGAAAGATACAGAAGGGAAAATGTAAGAATTGTGCCAGATTGATGAAACACATCTAGATTAAAGTTTGGCTAGGGTCCTGGACTGATTAGCTGGCAATATTGAGTTTTAACCTTTACTCTATAGGCAAGAAGTATAGAACATGCATTATTTCTCCCTCTTAGCAGTAAAGTCACAGATCAAAATATACCGTATTGAAATACTCCATCCCCGAGCTGCTGAAGGCCTCTGCAATTTCTTTGGTTGTTACCACACATGCCACAGGGTGGCCATTGCCCATTGGTTTTCCCATCGTGACGATGTCTGGAACAAAGTCTTCGCCATGCATTTGGAAGCTCCAAAAATGTTTCCCGACTCGTCCAAATCCTACCTGAACTTCATCAGCTATAAACACACCCTCTGCTTGGTGTACATATCTGAAAAGCAAAAAGACAGTCTAAATGCCTTCAGGTCGCTGAGAGTCCCCATACCCACCCACAAAGATACAGATTGTTAGGACTTAAAAAAAGAATGTTGTTAACTTGAAGCCTGTAATCTTTATTAAAAATATGTCAGTGCTCAAAATGATTTTGAAATATAATCACATAATTTCCAGATTAGATTTATTCTACATTGTTTGGGTTCGTTCTACTTAAAGCAAACTCTTCTGCAGTATTTTACGTGGGAAGAGAAAGTTGTGAACAAGAAGTAGTGTTGAGCAGGGTTAATCTTACTAACTGGTAAGGCTATGGCAACAGCCAATGAGAAGGCTGTCAGGCTAGGGGCTGAAGCAGAGTCCTGAAAGTCCCCACGATGGACCACATATAAGCCCTTTATTCGCTGGATCTTGGGAACATGGAGGAATTCTGGGAGTCCTGGGGTGGCAGGCACTCCAATGTGGCGATATACCAGCTAGTTTGGAAGTACTTCAATATTTTAACGACCAGTATGGCCCTATAGAATCGTCACGGTGCCCTCAGTTTGACCAAGGGTGCCCACGTTAAGTACATACTCTGCCACTTTCTGGAAGTAGCCTGCTGGAGGAATTATTTGTCCGCCACAACTCTGCATGGATTCAGCAATAAAGGCAGCAATCTATACAAGAGAAGATGGAGTCAAAGTCCATTAGGTCCCCCTCACACCACCTAAAAAAAGAGGACTTCTTATAGAGCAGGTTTAAAAAAAAAAATGGCTGAGAATGGACCTGTGGCAAGTGGCAAATAGGCCATTTGATGAAAAAGAAAAGATGTTTATGCTGGAAAAGCAATTGATCTGAAGCATTAGTTTCCGAAATTCTAGGGTATCAATGAAGCTACCATGAAAAATGGGAGAAAGCTTTCCATTTCTATGTAATTATTTTAAATACAGTGTTTTCATTTGAATCAACTGACTAAGACTGATATTTTGATCAGTCTTGATATGAATCTCTAAAAAATTACCCAGCTTCTGAATACATGACTGTGCTGCCTGTTTCCTCAGCTTGGTGAAATAGGACTGTCTGAGCCTGGAATTTGCACTAATGAAATGAGAGGGTGATCTGAGGCCATATACTAGTTACTGTGCTATACTTATAGTTCTTGTCCTGAACCAGGTTTAACTCAACAGAATTAGGCAATTCACAATAGGAACTACAGAGGAAGTATTCTAGAAGCTAAGAAAGGAGAAATACAAAATGGATAACACTGAACTAAGAAGAGAAAGCATAAAAATATTATGAGATACGAAGTCAAGCAAACCAAGATTCAGTGTTAGCAGCAAAAGACTATGATCTTGGAAATATAATTTTTTTTTTCCCCAGAAGCAGTGTTCATTGTTCATGTAAAGAAGTAAAGGCTATATTTGAAAAGGAAAGAGTATGAAGCTCCCACAACAGGCAGAGCTTCAGTCTACCTGCGCAGGTACCACGTAGGAAGGTATGAGAATCAAATGGGTTAGGAAGAAAAAGAAGAAACAGTTAAAAAATGCAAATGAGTCTCCAGTCATTAAGACAAGAATATCTGAATGGGGAAAAGCAAAGCCTTTATTTTTACCTCAGTTAAGATTTTTTCTTTACTGTCATGTCGATGCCATAAACATGTGTCAAAACACATTAAAACACCACATAAGTAATCCTCAAATGAGCTGAGAATTTACTGTTAAGCTGAGGACAGTAAGGTGAAGCCTGAGAAAATGGAAAGTCTTTTTCCTCCTCTGGAGGATTCTGGTTCTGTCTTAGACGTCTAGTTCCAGGTCGGAAGAAGCTTGTTCTGCTGTGACTTTTACCCAAGCTCTGCGGCTTCCGGCAAGTCAAACCAGTTTAAGGGAAGCACCAAGGCTCCCTGTGGATCCTGGAGACATCACTGGTCCTGAGGCTCCAGGGCCACTCTGCCTCTTCCCTTCCCATCACCATATACTAGCCCCTTGTGCTGCTCTCCATCGGAATAGTTTGTCCCTGGCCTATCACCTTCCTTAATCCTCTCTCCCCTGCCCCTTTGGACCAGATTCTGCATCCCACTGGGAGGTCAGCGTTGGAACAGAAGCAATGATTGTATTTCCAGAGAAAATAAAAATAGATTGTCTTAGAGGTATGACTATAATAACAAGATTTTTGAACTCTGAATCAAATGAAAACGTAACCAGAGGAGAAAAGAAAGAGAATTGAGATCTAATTCTTTCCCATCTCTCCAATGTATCATAGTGATTTAAATCCTTTTTATAAAAGATGTTAAAATGTTTCCAAAGATGTAAACACAAACCTTCCTTCCACTCTCATGAGCTTCTTCAATAATTTTCTTTACTTCGTCTGCATAAGCGCTGGCTGGGTCTGCATGGTCTTCTCTATATTTTCCTCTGTAAGTGTCTGGAGTTGGTGCCTGAAAACATCAAATGATACAGTTTCTCACGATTTGCCTCTTGGACAAATGAGCCTTTAAAATTTGGCATTTTCCCACAAGGGCTTATTAGAAGGGTAACCATATGGACTTAAGTGATTCTAGGTTTTTTAGTTCTGTAACATTTCTGAATTCTGTAAGTACTGAAATCTTTGCATTGTGAACGGGAGCTTGGATTTGCATCCGGACCCTTTTAAGTCAAGACTGCATCCCTATTCACACAAAGACCAAATTCAGATCAACAAGTATGATTATATTATTTGAAAATTTTGATGAATGGAAACTGTATTAACTACTCTAGATTGAAAATAAACCAACACTTACCAACTATATAGCAAATTGTAATCAGTCAGAAAACTAGAGTGCCTTCGCATTGATTCAGATGTTAAAATTCTGAAAGAAGTTATTGATGATTCCCTTAAGAAAGTTACTGATGCTTAATTAAACCAAATGAGTTTTCCTGTTTTAACAACTTGATTGGTTTCTTTATTTTGTTTCCTATTTATTTTAGTTAATAAATCTATATAATAATTTAGCATAGAGCAATTTAATTTTAAGACAGTCATCCACACTTAATTTGACTCTGAATTTCAAGCTGACATCAGTGATAGCAAAAGTAACTAAAGATCAAGGGGCAAGAAAAGTAAAATGATAGTTGTGAATGAATAACAGCTATCACTACCACTATACTAATTCGCCCATTGTGTTACGCATCAATGGATTTTAAACCACACTCTGTCATTAAATAGAGCTTTGACTTTAGCAAATCACATACTGCTCTCTGTCTTCGTTTCTTTTACATGGTTTCATTTCAATGAAAGGATTGGACTGGATTATCACTAGGCATTCTTCCAGCACTAACCTTCTGATTCTCAGATTCTAAAATACTTACCACGTGCACAAATTCTTTCTTGACATCTTTGCCCTTTCCAAATTTATATGGACTGATCTCAATTAAAGACGATAGGTGACCGTGGTAAGCACTGAAAAGAAAAAGAACAGCAACCAAAATTGCTCAGAGAAGGATGTTTTTCTATCATATAAAAAATAGTATTGCATATCATCCAGGGAGAATCTCACCAAGGATGCCAGATTTAAGCATATGAGATCTAATTTTTCATGGCAAGACTGGGCATTTAATTTGCCAGTTCTCTTTATTCATGTAATAAAACATGAAAAGCCAAGTATGTATTCTCGTAGATAATTTTTTTAGCCAGGAAAAAACTTAATTTATTTCAATTATATGTGCTAAATTAGATTAAATGAATGTAAAAAATAATATTTTCTATAGATCCATGAAAAACTTCATACGTATGTATTCTTTAAATGTATTTTATAGTTACATTCTAGTGAATTTAAAAAGTAACTTTATGCATAGAAGGAGCTCAGTTTCTGTTTAGGATGGCTTTCAAATAATGTCTCATTGCACATGTCAGGCAAATACAGCTTGGTAAGGAACAGAAGGTCTCTTCAAGAACTTCTTGAATTGCTCTATGCTAAATTATTATATAGATTTATTAAGTAAAATAAATAGTAAATAAACCAATCAAGTGCTAAGATTGAGAGGTGAGCAAGTGGCTATGAAATTCCTTTCTCTCAATTGAAATGCAGGTGGCTGTGTATTTCCCTTTCTGATTCTTGCCTAGAGATGTATTTGGGAGATCTGGAAAAGAAATTATAAAAGGCCCACGAATAGATTATACAAAGAGGAAGGATTTCCCCTATTACAGATTAAACCATGCTACAGAGCCATAGTAATAAAATTAGTGTGGCTTTGGAATAAAAACAAAGAGAAGGAGAGCTCAGAGGTATTTCCATACATAAGTAATAACACAATGGACTCAAGGTAGATTCAATATTTGGAGTAATTATAAAGGTAGTAAAAGAAAATAAAGAACATCTTAGTGATCTTGGGGTTTGGGAAAGAGATACTAAGAAAACTTAGAAAACACAAACCATAAGATAAAAATTTTATGTATTTGATTCGATGAAACTAAAGATTTCTGTTGAAGGACACTAATGACAAAGTTAAAAAGATATAGATAGGGGAAAGACGTTTGAAATGCCTCAAACTAAGAGATGAATGCCCAAAATGGTGATTCTCAATTCTGCCAGTATATTAGGATCATTTGGGAAATTGAAAAATCTATACTGTTTCCTAGAAATCACTTTAAGAGATTCTCTTTAATTGGTCTGGCATGGGGCCTGGACATTAGTATTAAAAAAAAAACATAGTCAAGGTTGAGATCCTCTGATCTAGATTATATGAGCAACAGCAAACCAACAAGAAAAGGATGGAATCCCAATAAAAAAATGGGTAAAGAATATGAACAGGTAATTTTCAGAAGAGAAATCACAAATGCATAATAAATATATGACGAGATACTTAAACCCATAAATAGAAAATTGCAAATTAAAACAACATTGATATCATTTTATAGCTATTAGATTGGTGGTAAAAATTAGAAAAAATTAGAAAGCAGTATACTATTAGATTTGGGTGAGGATACGGAAAATGGGAAATTTCATGCACTATGTAGTGTTGCAACCATTCTGGAGATGGATCTGGCAGTATTTAGTCAAATTGGTTATGTTTATAATACCCTTATGGCCTAGTAATCTTGTTTCTAGGTGTTTATCCCAAAGAAATTCTCAGAAAGGTCTATAAGGGCATATGTGCAAGGATGCTAATTGCAGTGTTATTTATGATAGCTGGGGGTAAAAGGCAGTCACAGTATCCAACACTGGAAGGAATGATAGGCAATAGTTCCACCCATGTGGTCCCCTATAGAAGCCACTCAAAAAATGTAGCTATTGAGAATGTGAAATGCAGCCATTCTGAATTGAGATGTGCTGTAAATGTAAAACACACATTGGATTTTAAAGGAAAAAAGAGAGATAGATAAAAAAAAAAAAAACTTCGATATCTTTTATATTGATTGCATGTTGAAATGATATTTCAAATATAATGGCTACTAGAAAACTTTAAATTCCCTATGTGGCTCACATTATATTTCTATTGGACAGCACTGAACCAGAAGAATAGAGGTACACCCAGCAACGTAGAATCTTGAAAAAGTGCCAAAGGAAAGAAGCAGAATTAGCAATGTTTATAAAATTAAAACAGAGGCACATAAAATAACATACATTTTACAAGAACACAAACATAACAGATATACATTAGACACACTAGTGTTCTACAGGTAGGGGAGAATGAGAATAAAAGAGAAACAAAAAATCAATTGTGGTAGCTCCCTACCCCCAAAGATGTTCCCATCCGAAACCTTGGAACCTAAGAATATGTTATATGGCAAAGGGGATTTTGCAGATGTGATGAAATTAATATCTTGAGATGGAGAGGTAATCCTGGAGGTCCAATGTAATCCTATTTTCATAAGTGAAAAGAGGCAGGGGGACGGTGGTCAGAGACATGGAGGTGACATGAGGATGGAAGTAGAGGCTGGAGTAATGTAATGACTGCCTCTGAAGATGAAGGAAGGGACCATGAGCCAAGGAATACAGATGGCCTCTAGAAGTTGGACAAAGCAAGGAACAGATTCACCTCTAGAGCCTCCAGAGGAACCCAGCCTTATCGACACCTTGATTTTAGCTCAGAGAGACCCATTTTGGACTTTGACATAGGAACTTTAGTAGAATGAATTTGTTTTGTTTAAGTCTCTAAGTTCATTACAACAACAGTATAAAACTAATACACCAACCAACACATACAGCGAGAGAAGCCTGCAGAGGGCAAGAAATAAGGTGCATGCTCGATTCAACCCTTTGTGTCTGAGATTTAAAAAAAAATCTCCTTCATAAAGATGGAAATTGTTCGATTTCTTGTTTAAAATGTAATAAACTCATGTTTGAGAGGTAAAATTGAATAGTGACTGTTAATAGTCATAAACTAATGAAAAACTACTAACTTTTACTAGGCTGCATCTTTTCTTTAAAATTTGTTCTAAATTGTTATCTTTTAAATTACTTACAGTACATAATCACAATAGTGAAGTGAATGCTTGAATTTTTAAGAAACTAATCATATTTTTATCTCGAAAAAGATTGAGTTATACATTGTAGTGGCTCAATAAATAGTTAATATGTGAAAACTAAGCCCCGATTCATATAAAGCTCATCTGGCCATGACCACAGCACCAAAAGGAGCCTGCCCTGTTTTCAGGTTCTTGAAGGAATTAAGTATCCTGCAGGCCTAACATGGTCTTAATACCCTAATATGTAGTAAAAATCACTACGCCACATATCTGCGCTCTTCTACATATGTTTATGGTATTAGTATGGATAGGATCAGTACGGTTTTGTCTCGGAAGAAGCTTCTTGCTTGGAGATCTTTTACCCAACACTTACTGGTCAAGAGTGATTACATCTTGGTGGCCTCTGAACTGCCGAGCCAGGCGCAAGGCTAAGTCGTTGGCTTCAGATCTATAAGATAACAGAGAAGGAACAATGTGACATAAGCTGTTTTAAAAATATTTCAAAATTTTAATTAAAAAGTTATAAGATTCTAGTTAAAATGGTCTCCTCCTCATCCAAAGGGTATGCTAGTTCCAAGACCCCCAGTGGATGCCTGAAACTGCAGATAGTACCAAACCCTGTATATACTGTGTTTTTTCCTATACGTACACACCTATGATAGTTTAATTTATAAATTAAGTAGGAGATTAACAACAATTACAATCAAACACAACAATTATAACAATGTACCGTAATGAAAGTTATGTGAATGTGGTTTCTCTCTAAAATTATCTTATTGTATTGCATTCGCCTTTTCATTCAAAGGAAGCACTTATTGGCTTCTCTTTGATATATCCAAATTACCAGCACCACTGCTCTTGTGCTTTGGGGACTTATTCAGTAAAATCATGATTACTTGAACACAAGTACTGCTACACTCTCAGGGATCAGACAGTCGATCTGGTCACTGAGAGGGCTACTAAGTAACTACCAGGCAGGGAGCGTGTGCAGTGTAGATACACTGGACAAAGGGGTGATTCATGTCCTAGGTGGGACCGAGCCAGATGGTGCGAGATTTCATCATGTGACTCAGAATGGCACACAATTAAAACTTATGCATTGTTTATTTCTGGAATTTTCCATTTAATATTTTCGGACTGCGGTTGGCCATGGGTAACTGACTGCAGAAAGTGGAATCCTGAACAAGGGGAAATGATTGTATTCAAAATTTATTAAGAAATAAGCTGAACTTCTCTCCTTCCCCTTTACTCTTGGCTATCCAACAGTCTCACTTCATCTTTCTAATACAAGTTCCCTCGATAAAGAATGAGGCACACAGAAGAAACACAATACAAATGAAGGACGTGCTTTCCATTTTAAACTTTAGTTTAGTTCGGCCACACCAGTAGGTGACTAACTTTGAGGACACATTATAAGAAGCCTGCCTTAAGCCTGATCCATCCCTGGAAGGAATGGAAATGTGAGGGCTCATTGACTTGGCTACTAAACTCTGTTATACTGGCCCAGACTTGGCTACTAAACTCTGTTGTACTGGCCCAATATTTGATTGAGTCTTTATCTATAAAATGAAGGTCGTAATTTTTCTATCTGGTTCAGAGAGTCTACCTATACTACTCAGACACAAAGGAAGAAAAGAATCATTGTGGAATGTTTTCTATCTGGCCATACATCATTCTAATTGTTTTGTTTGTTCTCATAACTACTTTGCCAGGCAAGTATTGCCATCCCTTTTTTATGGATGAGGAAATAGCCTCAGAAATTATGTGACCAGAATAAATTCTCGTAGCTAATAAGAGGCAGAGTCAATTTTCAGACTGAATCCTGTTTAACTTCAAGATCATTCTTTGTATTATCCTTAGCTCTATCGCCTCCAAAAAGTATTATCTGGGGTTTTTCCCTCTTTGACAGCATAGGATTCTTTAGCAGTGAAAGTCAAATATTACGCTATTTAATTTATTGAAAGCAAGAATGCTTTATAACAAAATATCTGAAGTCTGTACAAAGAGAAAAGAATGATCTTTCGGTTAAAAATTTGCTTTTAAAATGAAAAGAGAAAGGTGAACCACAGAATCATCTAATCAAACATTTTCAGAATTTTTAATAGTCAATTTCAACACATACATGCATATATATCATTTTTAAATATGAATTTATACTGTATATCCAGATTTATTCACAATGTGACATTTCATTGTAAGCTTTTCACATGTCACTAGGAATATATTTGCAAAACATACTTTTTAATGTTTGTACAGTATTCTATAGAATGGATAGATAATAATTTGAATTTGAAGTTAAAAGTTGGACCGTATCTATTCACTTGAATTTATCCCTTCCTTCTTTGTTTTTGTGTTGCAGAAATATGTTCAATTGCCTAAGGAAACAAATCAATCAAAAATCTTACAAAAGTTATAGCTTGTTTAGTAGAGTTCTTTCTGTGTTAAAATTTCATGTTTTCAAAGAACTACCTGGGCTCATGGATACTTTAGCTACTTATTCTACTGCCTGAAGAAGTGAGGGTCATTCAACTAGTTAGGTTTTCTCACGTGAACACCAGACTTGATTATTTTTGCCATGGTTATGACCTAAGTATCTGCCCTTTGAGGATACTTAAGGGGATGCCTTCTCCATCTTTCACAGAGGAAGCATGGCAATAAAAAGTTGAGTGGCATGCATGTGTTAATCAACAGACTGTTGTTATAGGCTGTGCTCAAAAGCCTTGGAACATGATGTCTGGTGTCCTATCTACAGCAGACTCATGGAGTAAAGCAGAAGAACCAGACTGGTCTGGTCCCCAGTGTATGGTTACTTAGTAAATGGCAGGAATGTCAGGAAACCTTTTTAGACAGCTGTGCTCCACCGCAAATCAAAAAGAAAAGGTATGTGCGAGAGAGTAATCAAAGAGATTGCTGGGAATGAGATGGGTGGGAAATCGGGAAACATACCCTGAATTTGTAAAATAGCAAACAGAGAGTTTCTCTGGCAGGGTTGCGGAAAGGCGCTTGGCGTACTCCACAATGTTGTCGTGGAGGAATCGAGAATTTGTATTTAGCAGTTCCATCTGTTTCAGGGCAGCTTTGAGCACTTCTGGGTGACAATGTCCCACTAAAATTGAAGAGACAAAAGCCAAAGACATGAGTTACAATACTAAATGCCTGGCAAGTGAGGGGGTTTCTGAAGCAAGGAAACAAAAGTTGAGCTTCTTTTTGACCCACATTTTGCTGCAACTTTCCTCTGCTAGGACTCTGGCTCCGTTCTGCAAAGGAACTGCAGCCACGGCAATTCCCGGGACAAATAAATATTAATGGTGCCAAGTCTGCCTTACTCCATAAAGGTTTCCTTCAAGACACAACAAGACAGGACAGTTACCATGGGCGACGTTGTTGATGCAGTCCAAGTACTGTTCGCCTTTCTCATCAAACATGTACTGCCGCTGGGCTCGCACTATTTTGATGGGATCCGCAGCAAAGAAAACTTTGCATGAGGGCCTAGAAATAATGAAAGGAAACACTCTGGTCTGCTAGTGTTTTTCCTTCTTCACGAAGGTCATGATAAGTGGAAAATTACAATTACATAAAGGAAAGGGAAAACACAATCTGAGTGACATGTTGTTTTTTTTAAATTTCTTATCAGCCAGGAACCTTTTACCTTAATCCCCCATTCGTGACACTGCTCATATTTCTTATGCTTGTTATATAAAATTTGCCATGATTTGACAACCCTATTTAGAGGCAACTAGGATCAACTCTGACAGCTCTTATTATGCACACCAATAACTAATTTTCCTTTGGAAAATGTTATTCTATCAGGAAAAACAAACAAACTTTTTTTGAGGCATACTATATGTCAGGAACTGACAAATATTACAAGTTTTATTTCATTTAATCCTCTCAACAATTATACGAAATAGGAATTATTATCATTCTCATTTTTATAGGTGAGGACACTGGGACACAAAGAAATTGAGGGACTTGTTCAAGGTTACACAGCCAGTAAGTGAGAAAACCAGAATTTGAAAGTAGATTGTCTTATGTCATGCCTAAGATAATACTTGCTTGCTTTCTCTCTAGCTCCTTTTAATCTAATTTATAAAGAAATAAATAGCACTAACGGCTAAATACAAATAATTTAGTGTTAAATACTATGAAAGATTTCATGGAAGATCATTTTTATACCTTTGAGTGGTTTTTGTTCTGTATCAAATGGATTTTCCATTCTTAAGTAATAAAATCCAGTTATTCTTCTAACCCCCTAATCCACTCTTTTGAGCATAATAAAGTGATCCACATTTTTGGTTATTTGAATGAATACTTGGAGTGTAAATTTTAGCAACATAGAAACATCGCAAAATTTTCTGATCTTGGCTCTATGAACATTTAGAAACTAAAACAATATATTATTTTTATTTTGGTGATTTCACATGCACAAAAAATGCCACACACATTAGAGGTAGTTTACAAGGTAGATACTTATATATTAAATTGATATGCAATTGTTTAGAAAGTATTTCGATGGTTGTGAATAGGTCATCTTGAATTTTAAAACTGCCTGAGATTAAGTGTCATCAGCTAAAATAAAACTATTTCATGAGAATTTTTATTTGTTCAAGCTCAGTTGTTAGTTTATACCTACAAGTTAAAATCCAAAGAAAACCTTTGTTATGAATAGGGGTGAAAACTGCAGACTTCACCTTGGCTCAAAGACTTCACCTTGGCTCGTTTATGTACTTTCCTCCTTGACCCTCAGATTTCGGGTAAAGTTCTTTCCGTCAGTTCATGGCTACCTTCTTCCTTTTACAGAATTTGTTCCCTTCATGTCAGAAATCATTAGGTTTTCATTGAAATCTAACTATATAGGATTGAAAACTAACAGAAAGGAGTAATGATTAGAAAAAAGGTAAAGGGGTGATTGGGTAAAGGGGAGGAATCTGACCATTTTGACCTTATCGCGGGGTTCAGAAAGCTCTAACCAGCCTTCTAAACCATTTAGAAAGCTCTCAGGTTGATATCGGGAACTTCACTATGAGAAATTGCCCATCACTTCTCCAAGGAGGACCCTGGTTCTTTTCTTTCTTGTGTCTCCCAATTTTATCTCTGTTTCTCTCCCCACTCCCCTCCTCCTCTCCCTCTTCCCTACTGACCGAAGCAGGGCTTGTTAATTACATGTAAATATTGCAGACCCTTGGTTTTACAAGGGTCAGGGGTCGCAAAAGGCCACAGTCATTCATTTTTACATGTACCTTTAAAAAAAAAAAAAGATCACATTTATTAATCTCATTTGCTCGCTCCCGTGAAGCAGAATGTTATTCCTACCTTCATAGAAGAGGAAATTAATTTGACAGAGGTCACACAGGTAACATGACACCCAACTAGGACCAGAGCCCAGGTCTGACAGCGTTCAGTCCCATACGCTCACCAGTGTATCTCCAAGTCCTTTATAGCCCGGACAAAACCAACGTAGACTTGAGAGAACACTGCATTTTTAAATTGAAGTGAGGGTGCAGCTTGGGAGACTCAGCAGGGTAAGTAGCATCTTACCCTTAAGAAGGTTGTTTTAACGTTCTTGTACTAGCCGGGATAACCCTTCACCTCTTAACCAAGCTGCAATAAGTTCACTTTAAACAAAAGTCAGAATTAGTTTGTTTTCATAGCCATCATCAAAAATATTTCCGAGTTCATAGTATTGAATAACTTTCGAGTTGGTGTGAGTGGTACCCTTCCTCCTCCCAGCGCCCATCCCTGGAACGGCGTTCTCTTTCCAGGGCCATTAACCCACAAGGGTCAATTCCGGCCCGCCTGCAGCCCCACTCCTACCGGGGCTGCAGAGCCGGGACCGCGCTGGAGCCGGCTGGGAGGTGCCCTGGCCGGCGGCCGCGCGCAGGCGCTCGGGGCCGGAGGCTGCGGCTCGCCGTCTGCTGTCAGCCGGCCTCGCGGAGCCTCTGCGCGCCGCTCCCGGCTTGCCGGCTCCCTGCCGCGCGCTTCAGCTCTCAGCCGCCTGCGCCAGTTATTTCCCTCTCTCTGCGCCTTTCGTTGGGGCTGGGGAGCCCTTACCCGATATGCTTCCTCCTCAACGCTAGAGTGTCCTTCTTGCAGTACAGCTCGCACATGGTGGCGGGGCAGCCGGGCGCTCCCAAGGGTCTCCCCTCTCCCGTGTGCGCGCCTCCTTTGCCAGCCCGCAGACTGCCTCGGCAGCTGGCCTCTCCTCCTGTAATCCCTCGTTGGGTCCCTTTGCCCCGGGCTTCTGAGGTCACTGGTGGCATCAACTAGGGAGGGTCATCTCCTTTTTAAGTCTTGCCCTGCCTTTGCCCTTCCCCAAGCCCCACCCTCCTCCTCCCCTCCTCCGCCGGATGGCTGCTTGGCAAGTCACTGGAGTAGCCACACATTCGCCCCCCACCCGCCGCTGCGAGTCTGACTCCTGTTCCTGCCCTGCCAATGCTCATTTCTCCTCCCCATCCCTCTTACTTCTTCTGTCTCGCCTTTTATTTTCCTAACTTTGCCTTGCCTTCACCTTTCTTCCTCCTCTGCCTGTGAATTCCCTCCTTCTCACTTTTTTCCTTGTTTCTCTTTTTGTGTATCTCAGTATTTTCTTGTAACTATTCAAAGACAGGCACTCTCTGCAGATAATCAGGACTGAACAGTCATCTCCATTCTCACACTGACATACTCCGTTACCAAAACCTACCACAGCTCAACAAAAGTAACAAGTCTTAAGCCCTAAGGATAAACGGTGGACTCAGCCTGCTGTTTGTTGGGAGTAATAATGTAGTGTTTCAAACATCCGCCTTAACAATAATTGCACTTCTAATTTCTCTAGTACTAATCAGATTACAGAACATTCACGTGATTTATCTGGTTAAGTCTGAAAAACAGCCGCGAGGGATGAGCATGAGCATTATCATCCCATTTAACATATGGGGAAAGTGAAGTTGTCCCTGTTCCACATTACACATCTACCTGGTGGTGAACTTGGAATTCATTCCTAGGTTTCTTGACTTCCTTTAAGATGATCTTTCATACTGATCAAATTTGAAGTTAAATATGTGGACAGAGGGGACACTAACAATTATATTAAATCATTAAATCTAGTTCTTAAAATTATATTAAATCTAGTTCTTAAAAGAAGAACTAGAGATCATCTGGTTTAACCCTTCTGTTCTGTAGATAAGAACAGTGAGGCACAGGAAAGATAAAGGCTTATTCAAGGTCATGCAACTACTTAGCTATAGAATTTAGGTCCTTTCATTCTGTGTTTTGAAAGGCAGCAGAGAAAGCCTAACTTATCTATAACGACACACTTGGTAAATGTTTGCAAATGACCTTTCTCTCGAATAAAGTTGTTAGTTTACATTAACGCACTGCAGGAGTAGCAGAATTGCATTGTCTAAGACAGGCTGAGAAATAGAGTCCTATGAGGGACAGCGTGTTAATAATTCTAGGATGGAAGGCACTTTAGAAATTTCATAAAATCCCAACCATGTAATCTTGGTATAGTTCCATACCTAAAAGATGTTGCCAAATGTATGTCTATTTCAAACCACTTAAATCTGGTGAAGTCACAGATAGTCACTCTCCCTCTATAAACCTCCGGTGGTCCCTTGTTATTCCCAGTGCTTTATAATATGTCCTTTATATAATGCTAGACTGTCCTGGGTTCTAGCTCAGAAACTATCTGGGCCTCTTGACCTTTTGGAGGCCAAATTTCTTTGTATTTAAACACACACACACACACACACACACGATCTCTCTGACTCAAAGCATTGTACTAAGGCTTAAAAGAAATCATGATTGTGGAATGTTTATCAGGAATATTTAGATCTCATGCTCTTGTCTTCTTGGTCCTTTTGTGTTTTTTTTCACCTGACCTCTCGGTAGAGCTGATCTCTCCTTTCTTCTTGAAACATTTTCTCTTGATTTCTTGACGCCACCACACTTTCCTGATTTTTCTCTTCTCTCACGCAACATTTAAATGTTGGTTCCTCTGAAAG